ATATGGTTCAGAACGGATTAACTGTAATTACATTGAACCTTATGGGAAAATTTGATTCAGGTCGCAACCAATTCGGGTCGCGACCAGAGTCGCGGAACGAATTAAGTTCATGACCTGAGGTACCACTGTAAATCCTTCTTCCAGGAACAACTGATGGGAAACCACCACAGATTGCCCATCTGAGAGAAGAGTGTGTGGAAAGGAGACAAGAACCTCCCACTAGAAATGAAAAGGCCAATGATTCAAACTATATGTCAAAATTCCAAATGAAGGTGAAAGTGACACAAAAGAAAATTGTGTGCTTTAATTGTAATAAGGAAGGACATATAGCTAAAGCTTGCAAAGCTCCAAAGTCACAAAGATTCCCTGTATTTAAGAGACCAAATGATAGGAAAGGGAAAAGTGAGGGAAGTTTTCCTTTACAAGGAAAGAGTCTGTCAACAATTGTGAAACCAAGTCAAACAAATGGATTATAGATTCTGGAGCCTCTAGTCATTTTTGTCATGACAAGAATTTCTTTGAGTACATTCTAATATTTCTGGATGATTTTTCAAGATATTGTGTTGTGTATTTTCTGAAGGAAAAGAATCAAACACAAGAGATGTTCAGAAAGTACCTTGCCATGGTAAACAACAAATTCCAGAGAAAACCCTTGGTTCTCATAACTAACAATGGGGGTGAGTACTGTTCACCTGAGATGAAAATCTTCTTGGAAGAGGAAGGAATTAAACATATGAAAAGTGTTCCATACACACCACAACAAAACTCAACTGCAGAAAGAAAGTTCAGATCCGTTATAGAGATGACAAAATGCATGTTAAAAGACACATCTCTACCCCAGCGCATGTGGGGAGATGCAGCCGCAACTGCTGTATATCTCCAGAACGGATTGCCAACCGAAGGAGCTACACACACACCTTTTGAGCTTTGGCATGGGAGAATTCCGAATCTGTTGCACATTCGTGTGTTTGGGAGTCAGAATCAGAACTTTTACCTGACAACAACAGATACAGGTCAGTAATAGGGAAACTTTTGTACCTAACCACAACATGTAGACCAGACATAGCGAATGCAGTGGGAATTCTAAGCAGAAAAGTAAGTGCTCCCACTGAACGTGACTGGACAGCTGTTAAGAGAGTTGTCAGATATCTAAGAGGTACCGCAAACTGCAAATTAAAACTGCCAGCTGACAGCGATCCAAAGCTAATAGGTTACATGGACGCTGACTGGGCAGGGGATGCAAAAGACTATAAATCCACAGGTGGTTATGTCTTTATGTTTGCAAATGGTCCCTTTTCTTGGGGCAGTTATAAACAAAATTGTGTAGCCCTGTTTTCCACAGAGTCGGAATACATTGCAGCTACAGAAGCTTGCAGAGAAATGGCCTGGCTTGACCAACTGACAAAAGACTTTGGTTTAGTGCGCAAGAAGCCCGTTTGCCTCATGGAAGACAACCAGAGTTGCCTGAAGTTGTCACAGAGTGAGAAATTCCATGCAAGAACGAAGCACATTGGAGTCAAATATCACTTTGTGCG